ACACACACACACACACACACACACACACACACACACCTTATTTTCTCTCAGCGATAGCCACATGCTCTCTGATTCTTTTTACCTCCTTTTTTTCAGTTGCAAAAAAAAGATTATAAGTGTTCAGAATATCGTCCATCTAAACTTATTGTCCCTTCAAAGTGTTCTGCTTAAAAATAATTTCAGCTTTTGCTTGAAAGTAACACCGTGATAATAGCTAAATAAAAGAAATGAGTTTGATACCGGTAGACCTATCTAGCACTGGTCTGGTCGGTGCTCTGTCGTCTTATGAATTTCAAACGCATTCCAAATCGTTCGATATTTTCTTTACCAGGCCCAATGGCTTGCAAAACATGCTTGGACCAGAAAAGCATGTGAAGATTATTTATTGAGCTCGCCTCCTAAACGACCTTAAAATTTAGTGTCTATAGAGGCGTAAAACTTCGACAGTTTCAATTATAGAGTCGCAATAGATCTATGACCAATTATGTTTTTCTCCTGAAGACTCAGAGTTTTTATTTTGGGGAAAGTAGGCTATAATTAATTAACAAACCCAGGAAGTGTTTTACTCCGTCGCACAATTAGTATTTTCACAGAAGCCTTGTTTAAGAGGTCAGAACTGGAATTAAGAACAGGTTCACAAATTCTCTCAACTTTCCACGCATATGCTGAGCTGATTATTATATTCTAAGACGTTTGGGAAGTCCCATATTTCTTATCTTATTTACAGTTAGCAGTTGCTCGAATTCATCAGAGACGTATACAAAACATGTCTAAATTGTTTCCAAAGCAATTTCAGATGTATGGCTATATAATGTAGAGCCGCCATTCCCATCATCATCTCTCCATTCATTTGCTTTAACAAGTCAAAAGAAAGTTGACAGACGACAACGCAGCTGGAAACAACAGCCCCAGTCACAATGGCCGGATTGTCCGGAAACTTGCTGTTCTCAGCACTATGCATACTGTGGCTTGGTGAGTTCTTCTGGGTACCTTCTGGTTTTTTTGCTCGTCTTTTCAGTTTTCGTAACGTTGGTTGGTGTTGAGGAAAAAGCGTGTGTGTGTGTGTGTGTGTGTGTGTGTGTGTGTGTGTGTGTG